ACCCTTCGCCCATGCACCTCGACGTTCTTGCCCAGCATGCTCGAAGGCACATGTGCATGGGTTGTGATGAGACCAAGGGTACATGCACCTTTGCCTATGGGTAGCGGTGGCCCACATGGTCCCTCTTGTCTTATCTGCCCGCATAAAACATAGAGTGATGGCCAACACTCAGCGATTTCACTGATGTTCGTAGATCGATGGTCGACCGGCAGTGGTTTCGCTGATGGGGGAGGAGTGACACCAAGACAACTATGAAAAGGGGCTCCCCAACATTGCGGTAGGAAGAAAAGAGTGTTCATTGTTCAAAAAGAGGGAAAATCAAAAGAAGGGAAGGTGAAAAGGAGTTAGGTTGGTTCCGTGCTGCGGCGCTGCCTAAATATTTTTCAGCTTAATTGCTCTGACACCACTGTCAGATTGTATCTCGATGCGCGGCAACGCGATGAATGATCTGCACTTCGATATATATGTGTGTGTAGTTGTGCAGGTATGTTTGTGGGAGCAAATAAAGCTAAGTAGAGAGAAGATGAAGCACGGCAATTATGCACCTCGGTTCTGGTCTTCTGCTGTGTGAAGCTGCCGGCCATGTTTTCTTCTCATACTTGCATTTTCCTTTGTCCCTTTTTTTTTTCCTTCCGCCAGCTTCACCTTGTTGTTGTCGTGCCACCTTGCAGTCTGTTCACGGCAGGTCGGTGGCACCACTGACGCCAGGTTTCATGGTGGCAGTGTGCACGGGTGTGTCACTGCTGCTGTGGCACTGCTTTCCAGGAACCCATGACAAGCTGTACCCCCCATGACAAGCTGTACTTTGATCTGTCCACAAAAGGTGTGCTTTACTGTTACTCCGTTACTAAAGTTTAACAGGGGAGGGAGGGAGGGAGGGAGGGAGAGGGAGGGAAGGGGGGAGAGAGAGGGAGAGAGAGGACTTTGATCTGTCCACAAAAGGTGTGCTTTACAGTTACTCCGTTACTGAAGTTTAGCAGTACCTCCATTGATGAAAAGTATACCATTTCAATAACTAAATACTAAATACATTTAATACAATGCACCAACAGCCCACACACCCCACCCGGCTCAACCCTCCTCATTACAAAAACCCTAACCTCTATCATCAACAGACAACATCGAGACCACAGATAAAACTTCATAAAAGCTTTTTTTTTTTTTTTTTTTTTTTTTTTTTTTAAATTTTAGCACAGATAAAAGCTTAACAGGGTTTAGGTTTTAAGAACTGAGGTTAGCAAGCAGCAATATAGGCAATCATAGATTTGTTACCGGCTCTAAGGTAGTAGCTATAGGGTAACAGCAAGTGCGCAAAGAAGGGGGAAGGAAAACCCAGAGCATAGGATTCGGCCTTGAACAAATTTCGTAACAAACAAATAGGGAAGAGCGTAAAGCTTTAGCAAGAACCCCTGCAAGGGGGCCAGACCAGCATTTCTAGCAACGATTGAAAAACCCGACAGTTACAGGACTGAGAGGAACAGGCTGTTTTTTTAGCCCAAGTAGGCTAGTGACAAGTACCAAAGCAAAGGGATAATCAGACTATTACCCAAGGATAGATGCAAGGTAGTACCCACCTGGGTCGATACCCGACCTTTATAACAACCTGGGCTTTAAGAGAGGGGAAAAAAAAAAAAAAAAAAAAAAAGGTAGTATAGGCTAACTTAGGCAGGGGTGAAGAGAGGGTACATCCTTCCATCAGGAAGTAATCAATGCCATCCTTCGGGCCTTCACACCGTAAGGTGGAGAAGCGTGAGTGAGTTTTATAACTTTTATTGTAATTCTCTCTCTACTGACTTGCCGGTGGAATAGGAACCGGACTGATGCTCCCCAGAATGGACAAGGAGCCAGAACCATAAGGTTCTGTTTTATATTGTTTTATATATATATATATATATATATATATGATGAGTCGGTGAAACTCCGACGAAACAGTTTGTCACAGCCCCTCGTTTGTTGTCCTCTTCTCTCTCTCTGCCTACGGTTTTACCGGGCAGTTCTGTTTGTGACGATATATATCGTCACAAATATATATATATATATATATATAGTCGGTGAAACTCCGACGAAACAGTTTGTCACAGCCCCTCGTTTGTTGTCTTCTTCTCTCTCTCTGCCTACGGTTTACCGGGCAGTTCTGTTTGTGACGATATATATATGTTTGTGACGATATATATATGTGACAAACTGTTTCGTCGGAGTTTCACCGACTCATCAGGAGGCTGAACCCTTATATATATCCTCTTCTCCCTCTCTGCCTACGGTTTACCGGGCAGTTCTATTTGACGATATATATCGTCAAATAGAACTGCCCGGTAAACCGTAGGCAGAGAG